TCCAGACTGTTTACACATGTAAAGTGCCTGGCACCAAGTAGGTGCGTATTAAGTCATGGACCCTTTTCCTTACTCGTCCCCAGGTAAGGGGAGGGAAGAAGCTTTGGATATAGGATGTAGTTGACTTAGAATAGGTTTTTCATAACTCTTGAGTCTTGACATGTCCTCCCAACACGGGGTGGGGAAAAGGAGATGAATGGCAACATTTTTTTAACTTCTATGTTAAAAATGAAATCTTTCAGAAGGTTTGGACCATGCCTGAAGCTTCAGCGCACTTGCCTGGGGACATGGACACAGTCAACGTTCATCGATGGTGGTTTCATTTGCTCGTTCTATTCTCCCCCCACCGGGGCAGTCAGGGCTCTATATGAAAGGCTGACGAAGGGACAGCTGAGAGAAATGGGGTGAAGGGAAAACAAGTGATGACGAAGACCTGGGGTGAGCCACGGTGGGGAGCTGCTCCCCACCCAAGTTGGAAAGGGAGGTTCCGGAATCCAGCAAGAGCTGATGCCATAAGAGAGGGCGACTCTAGCGGAGATGTGGCCTAGAATAATCCAGCCCTGTTATCCCCCGGCCTGAAGGGAAGGGAGTAAGTCCCGAGACATCTTTCGTTCCACCCTCCCACATCCTGCCAGTGCCTGTCACTGGTCAAGCCCAACTGGAAGCCAGGTGACCCATTCCAAAAGGTAAGTTTCCAGGGCACAAAGCAGAGTGCTAAAGGGTGATGAGTGGGTCTCGAAGAGTATCAGAAAATAGCATGTGATTTTACAGACTCAGAAACAGAGACAGGGATTAAGGGACTTGCCCACGGTCGTAAAGCAAGTAAGAGGTGGGGCAAAATCAAACCCACATGCTCTTGACCACTAAACATGGTTGTAACACTTCATTTTTAAGAATAATAGAAGAATCTGGCTGGTGTGGCTCAGTGGTTGAACATCGATCCATGTACCAAGCGGTCGCCGGTTCAATTCCCAGTCAGGGGCCCGATCCCCAGTGAGAGGCATGCAGGAGGCGGCCAATCAGTGTTCTCTCTCATCGATGTTTCTATCTCTCTCTCCCTCTCACTTCCTCTCTCTAAAATCAATAAAGGAAAAAAAATTTTTTAAGAACAATAGAAGATAAACTGGATAAGCCAAAGAAATGAACAAAGGAGAGAGGGAGAGAGCTAGGTCCCAGGTCAAAGAATCAGTCCCCAAGGCAGCGGCACGGCGAGCAGAGGCCAGCCTTAGAGGTATGTAACTATGAAAGGACAGCGTCCTGGTGACTCCCTCACTCGCCTGTACAAGTGTCTACTGAAGATGTACCTGTGCCAGGCACTCTGTTGGCCGCTAGATTTACCAAGAAGAATGAGGGGGCCACAGTCAAGGGCAGTAGCTTACAACTCTGGCTACCCATTGTAATCACTTGAGGAGTGAGTTTTTAAAAAGTACACATGCTGATAAAACTAGTATTTGGGCTCTGGCCTGTGTTGCTCAGTGGTTAGAGCGTCAACCCGTGCACCAAAGGGTCTCCGGTTCAATTCCCAGTCAAGGGTACATACTTGGGTTGCAGGTTCAATCCCTGGCCCCAGTTGGAACATATGGGGGAGGCAACCAACCAATGTGTCTTTTTTACATCGATGTTTCTCTCTCTCTCCCTCCCTGCCTCCTTTCCATTCCATCTAAAAATCAATGGAAAAAATATCCTTAGATGAGGATTAACAACAAACACACACACACGCACACAAAACACTGATGTTTGGGTCTATACTCCAAGGATTCTGATATAGTTGGTCAGGGTTAGGACCTGGTCTCAGAACTTTTAATAGCTCCCCAGATTCTAATGTGCAGACTTGAAAATCACTAGCAGGACATGATGCATGGGCTCAGTGTCAAAGGAGGAAGAGGAGCAAGCCATAGGAGGGAGGGAGGAGGGGAAGGAAAGGTACCAAAAAAAGGGAACAATCTGAATTTAGAGACCTCCCCATTGTTCAATATGAGCAGAAGGTTATAGTGAGGGGGGTAATGCAGATGGTGGAGGTCCTCCTACACCAAACCAAACTTCTAGGTAGTGGGAAGTCGATCAATGCTATTAGACTGGGGCAGACGTGGTCACAGCTGGGTTTACCCCAACTCTCCATGCATTTTTTCTTACCTCCTGAGATGGCCATCACTTCTACCTGGGGATGGGACTACAGAGAGGCTTTGAAGAGGTGCGGGCTTTGCCTCCTTAGGAAACGGAGCTGCCCCAGGAGGGGAGCATATTTCTGGACTCTCTGCCATGGGCAGTCTTCAACCAGCACTCATCCAGAGGTGCACTCCGTTTCCTACTGTCTTAAAGAACAACAGCCCTTTTTCGGTAACTTAATTTCATTATGTGATCTTGCTACAATGCTGAGAATTAATTCCTCAGGGAACCAGTTGTAGTTCATTTGGAGACTGATACAAAAATCTGAAGGTGAAACAGACTATGGATCATGCCACAGAAAATGGTGGGACTGTCACCAAAGACTTCAGATGGAAAGCCATTCCATGTGCTGCTCCAGGGACAAACCACTAAATAATTCAATTGACCTGATCATCATGCCTAGCCTCTGTTTTTGGAGACTACGTCCGCTGCAGAGAAAACTGTAGAAATGAAGATGGTTTGGGTTACTAGGTGGGACAATTCATAAGAACTATCCCATCCTTCATGTATGGGAAATGAATATCTTTCAAGTAAATAAATAATAATAAAATAACAGCAACAAATAATTCCTGAATAGCTACCTATATAAAACACAGTGCTTTGCGTGTACCATTACAATATCCATGCAAGGTCTCCGAGTTGATGAGGCCGAGACAACTGAGGCTGAGAGCACTTTGGTCACCTGCCCAAGGTCACAACTAAGTTTTCATGATGTACCTTTAACTTTACCCTTCTATTCTAGTCAGTGGGTGAATCTGTGCTCCTTTGTGCTCCAGAAAGGATGACTGCTTGACTATCTCATCAGTGGCTATAAGAGGCACTTTTCCTGCAGTGTCTAAGAAAAGCACCAAAACCTATCATGATTCTTTCCATGGGAGAAATGCCAGCTCCCTCTGTGACCTGAATTGCATGGAAACAGCACAGTGTCATCCAGTGAGCTGCTCCGTCAGAGAGAGAATAACCCTTCTGAGATGCCATGCACCTAAACAGCATGGCACTGGAATGTAAATAATGAATAGTCAATGGTAATGGGCATCCTCTGGCTTTAGGCCCCTCGTAGCATATCAGGAGACTAGAACTGGATGACACCTTAGAGGTCACCTGACACAACGCCAGCTTTTCAACGATGAGAAAACAGGTTGGTTAACATATCTCCAAGGAAGATGGGGCAGAGTGAGAGGTAGAACCCTGGTCTCCGACTAGCAGACGTGTGTTTATCACCCTGGAAGCTCAGATACCCTGGTTCCTCCAACACTCTCATTTCCTCGTGAGAAACTGGACTTTTCCCACAGGGAAGCTGTAAAGAAAATAGGTTGTTTTCTTATTCTCTACCGATAATTTGAAGTGCTCCCCCTATTTGTCGGTGACTCAGCCGGGCAGTCCCATCAGTCCCAGACAGATATGGGAATGGAAGAGGGTCAAACACCTGGGCCCTTCTGGTACATAAATCATTCTATGAATGCAAATGATTTAGCAGTTAGACAGGTGGTTTCTCAGAGCAAGGAATGCCCATCTTACCAATGCTTATCGATGATTTAGAAGGACCAAACAGCTTCCGTCACACTGTGGAGTGCCAATGCTGGTGTCATTAATATGCAATTATACATGTCTGGAGCAGATCACTAAGAGTTTGCTTTCTAAATAAATCACTTCATGCAAAGCTATAGTTTAGATGTCATTTTCATTTCATAAAAGGATTCATCATAGTGTACCTTTAAAAGCTAGCTTTGTTCATGCTTTAATTTATGACTCCATTCAAAGAGATGTGATTGCCTCACAACTTGCCAGAAACACATCTTCTGGATAAAACAAGGTGCTTGTCTCTGCCTCAGAATGCCATCCTTGATCCACATCTACTTTGACTGCTTGGCTCCTAGAAATCAATGGAAGTCTTTGCTGAGATGGAATTTTACTTCGGGTAGTGTGGGACCTCATGAGGACTTACACCCAGGATTACAGTCTGACCAGAAATAAAGTACCCGAGGCTGAGAAGGGTACTGTGAATAAACATTTTTCAACAGTTGTCATTCCCGGTAGAAAGGCAAGATTTCTAGGCTGGTGATAAGAGAACAGAAAGAACAGGCTTTGACAGCCCAGACTGTTAGCAGCTAAAGTAAACCAGCATGAGAAAAAAAAAAGAAGAAGAAGAAAAAGAAAGGAAAGAAAGGGGGGGGGGGGGGACAAGACCACAACCACTAAGCCACCAAGTTAGACTGAGTGACAGAAATACATGGAGAAATCCTGACAATGCAAATCTCTTTATCATCTCACAGGAAGTCTGTTTTTGACAAGTGTTTCTGTTCACCCACCACAAATCTCCAGTTATGATGACAGGCATAGGAGGATGAAATGCCCTATTTTCAGACACCTACAGGCCAAACGAGGAATAGAAACCAGAAGGGATGCAGCTCCCAGGTCCTGGAATTTAATTACCGGATCGCCAGCTTTGGACCTGATTTCATTAAATTCAGGTAAAGGACCAGCCACACAGTGTCCTTCTCATGCAAGGTACATGGCTACGCAGAACCGGCCACTGCCGCGTCCTTCCAGCCAGGACGAGTCTGAAGGCTTACAGAGGCCCCAGGTCGGAAGTTTGCTGTGCAGGGCTCCGCCAAGCAGCACCCCTGCCCGGGGCTCCCGCCCTCTGCTCCCCCGGGGCCAGAGGACACTATCCCCGCCACCCCAGAGCACACCGAGAAAAAGCCAGCTCACCCCAGGAAGGGAACGTGCAGCCCGGGAGGCCCTTTCCCTCCACGCCTCCCGCTCATTTCGTCTCGGCGCCCCCGGACGGGCGGCCCGGCGGAATTCAGAGAGAAAGGCAAAGGGGGACTTACCTAACTCCTCCGGGTTGTAAGGCACGGGAGAAGCTTCCACGAACTCACTGTCTGGAGGAAGAAGAAAAACAAAACAAAAATAGGATCGTAACCATTCAGGGCGAATCAATGAAGCATCAGTTACGCGCAGGTCCCTAGAAAAGCGCGGTTTCTCTCCCAGCGATCAGAATCCGTGAACCCGGAGCCACGCGGGCTCCGGGACGCCCGGTCCACGAGGGATAAGAAATTGCCAAAGACACTCCGGGGACAGTTCGGCAGGGACCGAGCGTCTCCGGCAGGTGCGCGCCAACTTTCCGCAGGTGCGACCCGCGGCTGCCCGGGCCGAGCGCGGGCCGTGACCTCAGCCTCAGCCTCAGCCCGCCGAGCTCATCGCTGCATCTGCCGGGCCTCGCGCCGACTCCCCAGCGCCCAGAAGCCCCAAAGTTTTCCCGGAGGCGGGAGGGCGCTCGGTGGCAGCAGCGCCAGCTCCCGGCGCCCATCCAGCCGGGCGCCCCGGCTCCGTTGCTAGGCGACCGCGGCTGTCACGCTGGGCAGCAGCGCGCGCGCTTCCTCCCAACTCCGGGTTGGAGGGTGTCCTCTCCCACCCCTTGACCATTTGTTAAAAATTAGAGCATAACCAGTTCTAAAATGATTCCTGCTCTTTTGAATTGCGTCCGTCCTACTCCGATGCATGGGAAATCGTTTGTTCTGTGCTCGAGGGGAGAGACAGGATTTTTAGAGCTTGCATTATGTCTTGCCGCAAGGGAGGAGGAGCTTCGGGAGCTTCAAGTGCTCCCACTCCTTTTTCGTGTACCTGAATTCTAACTTAGGTCCAAACAATGTTTCTTCCCCTTAGGACACCACCTGGTTCAAGCAGAGAAGGTAATGTCTCCATTTCGCAGGTAGGGAAACTGAGCTTCGGAAGTTAGGTAACTTATGGATGACTGCACAGCACTGTGATGGGGCCTGCCTGCCTGCCTGCCTGCCTGCCTGTCTGTCTGTCTGAGGGGAGCAGAGCAGTGTTCCCTACTATATAAAGAGTTGAGCAGTTTCAAATACGTAATGTAGAAACAGAAGTTATGGTTTGAGGGTAAGAGTTGTACTAAAGTAATGCATGTCCGATGGTGGGAATCTCCCTCTCTGGGTCAGCCGCCTGAATAACTGAAGAGGTTGCATTATGCATTTTTCTCCTGGACTAACTGACTACCCTGCCTGGGAGGCCCCTGGGCTTTGGGGATGTGCTCCAGAGAGAGAGCCCCCACCCATGCAGGAGGAATTAAGAGGAAGGTAGAAGCAAACATGGAAAGTTGTTTCTCTTCTCTGTCCTTCTCATTGGAGACTGACAGTTGGAGTCAACAGTCTGGGCAACCTGTTGGGGGCCTCTGTAATCTCAAAGTGATCAGATCACCAGCTGCTGCAGCCTGAGGGCCCCCGGACCTGTGCCAATGTGCTCTGGTTCTGCAAATACTTAGCCATCTATGGTTTCTCCACTGTAAGCTTTCAGTTTACAAATTACCTTGGCGGGCAAATTACCTAGCCAGCATTGCGGATGGGGAAGCAGCCATTCCTGAGCTGCCTAGCCTATCTCCCCATCTCCTTTCTTCCCACTCCTGACAGTCCGAGCTCCCAAATCCAAGAAGTGAATGTGCTTGGGTGAATGTTTGCACACGTCACTCTTTCCCCTCCCATCTCCTAGAATCCTCCCATTTGTCCCCAGGGATTCATGGCTTGTCACCAGAAAAATCCCCAATATTCTCAGCTTCTTATCTGAATATTTCTTTTAAGTTCTCACTCTGATCAAAACCTGGCTATCTCTGAAAATAACAGACCATATTACCCTACTTACCACAGCCATCTACAAACTCTTGGGTTGTTCTACCTCGTTCCTTGAAGATGTTGGCATCTGGCTCACTGTCAGTTTCCCCAATACAATTCCCATGAACATTCTTATTTTCAAATCTACCTAATGGACCCTTCTCACATTCTGGTCTCTCAATTCTTCAACATCCTCTCCCTTCCTTGACCTCCAGCTGTCTCAGCTCTCTGCTCTCATAGTGGCATCATTCACAAATCTCAGTGCCGAGCGTTCCATTCTCCACCCACCACTTCCTACCTTTTCAGTTTATTCTCTTTGTTATCTTAATTAATGTCCCCTTGACCCTACTAGCTCCAATAACTTACGTGTCCCATGGCCTTTTCTCTGTTCTTTACTTTCTTCATGATCTTCCTTCTGCCTATATCCACCTTAGTTTCCAGGTTAATTATTATCAAACTGTACTAGCCAATGTTGAGGAGAATTCTGTATTATATAGTTAAATCAAATTGTCCAGTTTCATTATTATCATTTCTCTTTTATATACATACTCAAATCTATGTCCCCCTCTCTCCATATTACTTCCTTGAAAAAACCATAACCCTGATAAAGTCTAATTCTTTACCTTCTCTCTGCCAGCACCCAGAGAGACATAATGAGAGAAGCATGCTTCCTGGTCTTATTTTCAGCGTGTGACCACTAACCTCAGGTGGACCACAGTGCAGTCAGCAGTCACTCTACATGTGCCTGGTTTCCTTACTCTCCTGCTCTCTTGTTACTGTGGATGAACCGTCTGTGCTCCATCTAAGGCCAACTCCTCCATCGTGGATCAAAGCTTGTACCCTCCCATGTGACTTTTCCCCCTCCCAACCTAAATTACTGTTTTCCTCTGTTCTAGAGAATTCCCATCAGTATACAGACAGGCTACTTACTATGTTTCTATCTTAAAAAAAAAAAAAAAAAAAAAAAAGTCTTTTCTTGACTTCACCTCTCTCTCCAACTACTATTCTCAATTCTCAGCTGCCCTTTGCAACAAAATTCATCAAAGAATTGTCTACACTCATTTTATCTATTTCTTCCTTTTGCTCTTAGACAAACAAGCTTCTAGCTCACCACTCTTCCAAAGTACCTCTTGCTAAGGTCAAGATGGCCTTGCCATTGCCAGTTCCAATGGTCAGTTCTTGGTGCTAAGGGCAGCTTTTGACCCACTGATCCCATGAATGGATGGGCTCAGATGGACTTTCTGCAGGATCAGTCTCCTCCATTTCCCCATCACACTGAGAGGCAACTAGCATTTGTGTTCCAAGAGAGACAGTGTGCAGAAGGCTGTGGGGTCAGCCAGGCCTTGGTCCTAATACCAGCTCCACGATTAGCTAGTAATTTAATTTCTGCCAACCTGTTTTCTAAAAAAATAAAGATAATAATTATATCTAACCCATAAGGTTGTGGTCAGAGTACAATATACTAATTCATGTAGAGCTCCTGGAAGAAAGACTGTCACATTGTGAAGATCAAGATTACTTATTATTGGATGGCATATGCCTTTTACAGCTGAGTGAGCAGGCTCTTTAACAACTTTGAATTACTGAAAGGAGTCACAAACCACAGACTTTGCTTCAAATTAAAGCCAATGTTATACTGTCCCCACTTTTAGCCTGTGAGTTGGCTGGAAAGTTGGTTATATATTGCCCAGCCAGTGTGGCTCAGTGGTTGAGCATCGACCCATGCACCAGGAGGTCCCCGGTTTGATTCCCAGTCAGGGCACATGCCCGGGTTGTAGGCCTGATCCCCAGTGGGGGGCATACAGGAAGTGGCCAATTGATTTTCTCTCTCATCGATGTTTCTGTCTCTCTCTCCCTCTCTCTCTAAAATCAATAAAGAAGAAAGTAAATAAATAATAATAAAAAAAAAAAAGTTGGTTATATAGAGCTGGTACCAGCTATTCCCCATAGGAAGATCATTGCAAATGTTCCACCCAGCGATTAGGATTTGGAGCCTGCCCAGCTATTCTAACTCACCATGGACTCCCCCCCCCCCCAAACTGATGACTCATAAACTAAGAACTTTTCTTACAGCATTTTAGTTATTTGAATTTCCTAATCAACTGAAGGTTAATGAGAAAATATTCTTCTTGTTTCAATATTTGCTCTTGAAATTTTTTCTAAAATATATGATTCCAATTTTCTATCTTAGGAAGCAGAGCAAACAGTAATAATTCCTGTTAATGAAACAAACCTTTATGGGAAATTTGCCATGGTTCCAGGTACTGCTAGGCATTGCAGATACAAAGGTGATCAGAACAGGGTCCTGCCCTCAACTCTCTCACCTTCCAATAAGGGATTCCACATCAGAGGACCTGATTGGACCTCAGGGAGTATCCAAAGTGTCGAGCCACACTTGACTTTACTAAGCCTCTTATAAAGAAATGGTTCTGTTGGAGGGTCACTGAATTATAAAGGACAGTGCCTAATTTAAGTTTATTAGGGGGCAATCTCAGGGATGTTCTTAAGCCTCTCAGAGCCTCAGCTTTCTGACAATAATACTTAACTCATTGGATTGTCAGGGGACACCACACAGGTAGAGTTTGAGACAGACCAAGCATGGTGCCGGGCACACGGCAGATGCTCAGTCAGTGTTCCTTTCTCTCCCACGTAGCAAACGTGAGTCCCTCTTCTGACCGTCCTGGGAGGAAAGTGAGCTCCTGCGGCCATGGCCCCTGCAGACAGAAAGAGGGAGTCCTTCCTCCTATGTCTAGAGCAGTATTTAGGAGACAGTGGGGCATGTGGAGAGAAAGCAGCAAGAAGGAACTATTCCTGAGACTCAGGTTTTTCACAGAAACAGATTACACAGGAGGCTGATGCCTAATGTCCACTCGGACTATTGCCCTGCTCTATCATAAGTTGAATTGGTTTTTAGGAGCTGCACTGGGAACCCAACCCCTAGCTTTAATATTCATATATATAAAATATAAAATTATATCTATTATATTACAATATATAACAACATATAATTTTAATTTTCATTATATAAGCAAATAATATATGTTCAAGGTAAAGGAAAGAACATTGAATGCAGATGGTTATAAACTGGAAAATGGAAGTCCTCTTTCTCATTCTATCGCAGTCTCCACCTCCCAACTGAAACACTACCCACAGCTTCTTGTGTGTCCTGGTAGAGGTTTCTTTAGGCATATTCAAATGTGTATATAAATTTGTCAAATAAGCTGGACATCACATTCTAGATTTCAAATTAAAGAGAA